GCCACTATTGCCTGTATGTTCCCGGATCGGTCAGGAAGTCTATAGAACGAGTAGAGAATTCGGCCGGGTGGGTGGTGCTCACACCTGTGAATCCAGGCACTTTGGGATGCCGGATCGGTGGGTGGATCACCTGGAGGGGTCAGGAGTAGAGACCAGCAGGGGGGCAGCATGGGGCACGCTGGTCTCCACTAGAAAAGGGGCAAAAATTAGGGTGGGCGGGTGGCACATGCCTGGAATTGAGCCTATTCGGGAGGCTGAGGCACTAGAATGCTTGAACCCAGGAGGCAGAGGTGTGGGCAGTAGGGCCAGATTGCCACTTGCACTCCATCGCTGGGGGACATGAGCAAGTGAATCTGCCTCCAAAAAAAAAAGAAAAAAAAAGATTTCTGGGGCCGGGTGCAGGGGTCACATCTATAGAATCCAGCACTTTGGGGGCCAATGGGCTCTGATCACTTGAGGCCCAGGAGTTGAGCTAGTTCTGGCCAACATGGACAAAACCGGCCACTTCAGCCTTCCTGAGTAGGCTCCTGAAAAACATAAAAATTAGCCAGGTAGGGTGTCATGGTGTAGTCCCAGCACTGGGGAGGCCTGAGCATTGGACAAACTGTTTTGAACCCAGGAGGCAGAGGTTGCAGTAGAGGCCGAGTTTGATGCACGCGACTCCTCCCGTATGGTGACAGAGGAGATCGTCTCAAAAGAAAAAAAAAAAAGTCTGGACAGAGACCACCGAGGGGAGTTAAGCCAGAGCACGAGGACGACCATATTCATGCTGAAAAAGGTAAGGACAGCTGGCAGGGTGGCTCGACGCTTGGTTATCCCAGCACTTGGTGAGGGCGAGGTGGTGTGGCATCATGAGAGTGCAAGAGTCAAGGACCAGCGCTGGCGCAAGTGGTGTTTTGTAACCCTGTCTCTTTGTTTTTACTAAAAGACGAAAAATCACGCTGGCGTGGTGTACAGAGCGGCCTGTGAATGCCAGCTACGGCAGGAGGCTGAGCACAGAATTGCGCTGAACGCCGGCACGTGGAGGTGCGCAGTGAGCAAAGTCAAGACGCCAGGCACTCAGCCGGGGCAACAGAGAGACCTGTCTCTCAAAATAGAAGAGAAAAAAAAGAATTAGGGAAAGTAGGGACAAAGAATAACCAATCTTCTAACACTTGCTGTAACAATCTCTCTCTACACACACACACAAAATCTCTCTCTACCCCACAACCAAAGCAGTAGCAGAGAGAATAAAAGAGGCAGAGAATTCTATAAGCCAGCAGAATGATTCCGACATGGAAAAAAATCTGTTAATGATATGGGAAACACTTCATATGGAAATGGAAAATATTTAGAAATAAGTTGGATGAGCAAGGATTTCATTTTCTTTAATATCCTGTATAATGGAAATAAATTAAGATGGTAGAGATATTCAGAGTATATAGACAGAGGGGAAGTGAAACTGGAGTAGGATGAACAGTTATGACCTCTGAGGATAGTCATAGACCATATTCCATGAAAAGAGGAAGAACAGAAATGTACAGATGCACACAGATACATAGAAACAGCTATTGGCTGGCTGGCTGCAGCTTCTGCTAGGACCTTCTTTTCTTTTCTTTTCTTTTCTTTTTGAGGCAGGGTCTTGCTGTGTTGCCCAGACTGGAGTGCAGTGATGCGACTGTGGTTCATTGCAGCCTTGACCTCCTGGGCCCAAGCGATCCTCCTACCTTAGCTTGCTGAGTAGTTGGGACCACTACTCGGGTGTATACCAGCCACTACATGGCTAATTTGTAGAGTTTTTTTTTTAAAGAGACAGGGCCTTCCTATTTTTCCAGGCTGGTCTCAAATTCCTGGGCTCAAGCAATCCTCCAGGCTTAGCTTCCCAAAGTGCTGGGATTACAGGCTTGGGAAGTGCCTGGCTGGTCTCTTTTTCTTAGAGCTAAAGTCTGGTCTTCTGGGAAGCAACCTCAGCTTACACACTGGTAACACTTTCTCAGGCCTGCTGCGACTGCCAAAACTGGGGTCTGCATAATTTTTTGTTTTTTTTTGAGATGGAGTCTCGCTCTGTCGCTTGGGCTGGAGTGCAGTGGCATGATCTTGGCTCACTGCAAGCTCCACCTCCCCGGTTCACGCCATTCTCCTGCCTCAGCCTCCCTAGAAGCTGGGACTACAGGCGCCCGCCA